ACAGCTTATTGCAGTAGTCCAGATGAGACAGGAGGATAGTAGCCATGGAGAATAGGAAGAGAGGTTGGATTTTATAAATATAGAAGAAATAGAATCAATAAGATTTAGTAATTCAGTTGATGTTGGGAGAAAGGCAGAGGGGAAAGTGAACCTCATGTTCCAAGTGTCTTACGTAGGGAGGTGAGTGGATGGTAAATTACACACTGAGCTAGGAACACAAAAAGAAGAGCAGTTAGAGAAGGGAATGGTTCAGTTTAAGAGACAGTTCGATATGTAGCTGAGAAAGTCAGAGGAGGGATATAGTGTCTGGTCAAAATCTAAGTCATTCCGAATAATTACATACTATTTTTTCACCAGAGTAGAGCTGACCTAATTAAGATAAAATAAATGCCTGATTCTCTAATTCATTCTCAAAACGTTTCTTCAGGCCTTCCCTCTTGTACAGTTGGGGTCTGCTTTTGTAGCTTCCACTCTTCAAACTTCTCAGTTCAGTTCATGTCAGTAATCATTTGCTTCAGGCTTTCTCTGCTAAAGTTAGAGATAAAGGGGAGAAGCAACTGCTACCTGCTATCAAGGATCGAATGGTCTGTTGGGGAAATCAGACATGTTTATAATGGTTTCAGGATGCAATCTAGAAACACCCTCCTAGCTACAATGTGGAAATGGGTTGGTGGGAGGGACAATAGGAGGCTGCTTCGGTAATCCAGATGAGACAGGTATTAAATACTAAATACTATGATAGGCAGTGATAAGTATTCTGTGTACTAAGTACTGTGAGGGAGGAGTATATAAAAAGCGTATTCGAGCTCCCTTCTATGGTTCTCAGTATTTCATTCTCTTTTGGGGACTACTTTTCTAATTATTGGTTTTTTTAATCAAAGTCTATATAAATATTTATTCAATCTGCTTTCTAATCACAAACCATATTGAGATAACGCTACCCAGAATTGCTTTGAACTTCGTCTTAAGGTACCACAACTGATTCAAACAATTGGAGTTAACTTGAGGCAGGGGGGCTGGAGCCAACCATAGGGTGGGTAGTCATTCACTTCCTTCGCTTTGATCCAATAATTTCTTTATTTTCATATCTCCTGCATTAACTGCATGCACACTAGCAATAATCCACATAGGACAGAAAGCCTCCAACAATCTTATTCTTACCCACCAGAAAAATTGGCACAAGTGCAAGTTAATAACTTCTGTAACCCTGCTTATGTGATAATTAAAAATCAGGGAATTCTAGGTGTTAAATAGGATGGAAGAAATATTTTAAGATTTATTTGTCTGTTGAAGAGGCTTCCAATCACTTGGCCCATCTTGCACCTGATCAAGTTTCATTAAGCCTTCCTTGGGTTGCTGAAGCCAAGAGAAGCCTTTACTATGTTTGGTACATAATGACTAATGGTATGTTTCTTCTTAACTGGAATATGTTAAGTGTAGCTTGCCAGTGAGGTAACTAATTTAGGGCATATTTGTTGCTATATTAAACTCTAGAGTAAAGCATTCATTTATTTATTCTATAAATCTTTTTGAGCATCTGGTCTGCCAGGCACTGTGCCTGAATAAGACTCAAACCACGACTTGCATTAATACCCATACAACATACAAAGGTTGTGGAATCACTAAGGAGAAGCTGGTTGAATCAATTTTGTAAAGCATTCAGAACATGATAAACCATTAGTAAATGTTAATTGTCTCTGTTTAACCATCATCATTACTATTTAAGTGGAAGAGAAGAGGAGGAAGGACAATCGGGTCAAGAGAATAACTTAACTGGAAAGATAAAAGTAAACATCATTTTCCAAAATGGCTCATTGTGGCTGGGATGTAGAATACAATGCAGATAACCATGATGAGAGATAGTACTACTAAGAGGTAGTAGGAGACTAGATTTTAAAAGGCCTTAGATACCAGATAAAGAATTTTGACTTTTCAAAATATACAGTGAAACCCATTGAAAAAAATTTGTGGCATCACTTTTTTTCCTAATCTGATAATCAGGTTTTCTTTTTACTTTTTTATGGAAATTTTCTAACATACACTGAAGTAAGAAAAGTAATGTAATAATCTCCATGTACTCATTACCCAGCTTTAACAATTATCAATATGTGGCAATTCAGTAAAGATTTTTAAGCAAGGGAAGAAAGATGTAATGTTGTGCTACTTCCATTACCTTATTTAATCTTCACAGTGACCTGTGGAGTATGTGGAGTACTACTTTCCCTAAGTACAAATAAGGAAACCATCAAAATGATGAAGTAAGTAAAAGTTCTGGGATTCCAACCCGCATCCAACTTATTCCAGAACTCGCGTTCTTTCCCATGCTACATCATGCTGCCTCTATAATTCTGAAGTAGGTAGAGCATGATTCTCACTTGAAAACAGCAGCTAATCTGCCTCCCTGCTATATTGGTGCTGTTAACCCTATTCAACATGGTGGATTGCTCTGCCTCCAGCCATTTTGCTTCTCCAGGGTCACCAGGATCTAAGTCTACATAAATTTTCAACCTAATCAGCTAAAACGACTATTTAATCCAGTGGTTCTCAAAGTATGGACCCCAACCCAGCAACAAGTTGCTAGAAAATACAGATTCTCAGGCACCACCACCCCTAATGAATCAGAAACTCCGAGGACGGGAGCTCATCCTTCCGATGTTGCCATTTGCTGTGTTTAAATAAAATACTGCAGCAGTTTCCTGCAGACACAAGATTATGGCCATCTACCAAGAGGGTTTCTAAGGCAAAAACTTCCTATCAAAGGGAGTTATAACAAGTTCATGAAAAGCATGTTCTAAGGCAGGAATTTCTATTCAGACTTAGCTCTAGGGCCTTTCTGGGGATGTTATATAATTGCACAGAAAGGACTCTTAAGGATTTGCACTGCCTTTACTTAAAGTGCTTGATAGTGCCATCTAGTGGTTTAAGCACTATAGAACGTGCAGCTTTATTACTCAAGGCTTTTGGGACAGAATTTGTATATTTTATTAAAATCAGTTTTATAGTAAAAGTTTAGTGGAATCTCAAAGCACAAGATATGTATTTTTTTGCTATAAAATCTCCATTGAGGGTTCTTACATATGACACCAAGATACAAGTAACAAAATTAAAATAGCTAAATTAGACTTCATCAAAATAAAAAACTCTGCACATCAAAGGACACTATTGAGAAAGTGAAAAGACAGCTCACAAAATGGGAGAATGTATTTGAAAATCCTGTATCTGATTAGATATTGGTATACAAATATATAAAGAACTCTTACAACCCATCAACAAAAATACCAAACAACCCCATTAAAAAATAAGTTAAGGACTTGAATAGACATTTCGCCAAAGAAGATATACCAATGGCCAATAAGCACATGAAGAGATGCTCAATATTATTAGTTACTAGAGAAATGCTAATCAAAACCACAATGAGATACCACTAGGATGGCTTGAATACTTTTAAAAAATAAAAAAAATAAAAGTGTTGATGAGGATATGGAGAAATTAGAACTTTCATACATCACTGGTGGTGATGTTAAATGCTATAGCCACAGTGAAAAACAGTTTGGCAGTTTCTCAGCTAATTAAACATAGAATTGCCATAGGACCCAGTAATTTCACTGCGAGGTATATATGCAAGAAAATTGGAAACAGGTGTTCAAACAAAAACTTGTACACAAATATTCATAGCAGCATTATTTATAATAGCCAAAAAGTGGAAACAACCCAAATGTCCCTAAGCTAATGAATGGATAAACAAAATGTTGTATAGCTATATAATGGAATATTAATCATAAAAAGAAATGAAGTACTAATACATTGATGAACCTTGAAAATATCATGCTTACTGATAGAGGCAGGCACAATGAGCCACATATATATGATTCCATTTATATGAAATGTCCAAAATTGGCAAATCCAAAGAGGGAAAGTAGATTAGTGGTTGCCAGAGGCTAGAGAAGGAAAGAATGGGAGTGATTTCTTAATTGGTGTGGGATTTTTTTGGAGGGGAGTGATGCAGTTATCTTGAAATTAGACAATGATGGTTGCACAACAGTGTGAATGTACTAAAAGCCATTGAATTTATTTAAAATTGTTAAAATGGTGACTTTTATGTTATGTGAATTTTACCTCAATTTGTATGAAAACCTCTATTGATTGGCGATACTTCAAAAACTTTTAAAATTATTGTTAGTATATTTTTACCATTGTTATTGCTGGTATGTATGTATTCTATTCTTTTTTGAACCTAAAATTATTTGATATATACTTTTCCATTTATACAGTTTTCACAGTTCTTATTTTGGTGGCTTTATATGTTTTAGTCATTATATACAGCAGAGCTAATCATTTCTCAAATGTTTGCTGATTTTTGCTTCTCTTTTTTTTGTTTCAAAGAGTCCTGTTCTATGCTTAAACAAATAAGAATATTGAAAACTCTTCATAGACATTGACTGGTATTTCTTCCCCAAAACAGGATTTGAGTCATTTTTTTCTTTTTTCTTTTTTACTATTTCAGTTGTGGGTTTTTTTCTGACTGCTCTATTGGAAAAATATACTATAATTTGTAATCCTACCAATAATGGATGAGGAAAAGTGGGAGAGATTAATGACTGTTGAGTGTCTACTCTGTGCCAGGCACTGTATCTGGATCCTTTTAGATCCATTATTTCATCTAACTCCCAAACCTAGTTCCACTAAAGTGACTACAGAAGTTGACACAAATAGCAAATAAGCAAAAGTCAGAACCCAAGCACTTTGTCTCCAAGTTTTGTCATGTTCCCATAGCTTTACCAATATTGGATTTTACCTTTTTTAGTTCCTACTTATTAGAGAAATTCCATGTTTTCCCATGTGATTGTTTACTGTTTATATCTATCCTTACATAATAATCTGTACCTTTCGTTCATTTATTATTAATAGATTTTAAACTGAGCTTACCTTATAGACGGTGTGCATTACATGTCAAAGCTTTATCATAATTTTTTTTGTTTTTGTTTATTCCCCTTTTATAGGCTCTTGATGGAAATGTGTATGATCACTTGAAGGATTATTTAATAGCCTTCAGCCGAACTGAACTAGAAACATGTCAAGCTGTGCAGAACACATTCCAGTTTTTATTAGAAACCTCCAGCAAGGTAAGTTACCTTTAGTACAACATGTGATGTTACCCATTTTAGAATATAAAATGTTTTTACATACAAAGTAAATGAAGGCACCAATAACATGAGAAGAATGCTTTAAAGGAGAAATTTCCTGGAAACAGTATTCCTTCTAACAAAGTTGGTGGATATTCTGTTCTTGACGCAAATGGCGAAAGAGGAAGTGATGATGCAGGCTAGCTCAGGACATCAGTCCATTGCCACGTACATTGCTTTTGAAAAGAATGGTTTAAAGAGTTTTATCTTCCACCCAGATTTTGAATGTACTCAACTCACTCATATGGGGAAACAACGGGGATCATTGTTAGTTCAAAGAATAATAAAGGGGTATAAAGAGGAAAACAGCATTTTATAATCAATAAAGGAATAAATACTATAATGTCCTGTTTTTAAAAAATTACCCTTATCTTTATATGCCGTCATTCTTTGATAGATATCTTCTCATTCAAAAATATTGAAATCCATCAACTTTGCTAACATGTCACACTGCGTTACAGAGAAAATAAATAAAATTGCTTTTCTTTAGGATTTGACAGATTAAAATTTTTTGCAGTAGAGAAACTGTCCTTTGGAAGATACGTTGTTCCTGTGATTAGTAATTGCTTTCTTTCTGATAAATGAAGTATACAGTAAATGTTTCCTGACTGAATGCATGCATTCGTAAAAATGTATTCATTTTATAACTGCTAAGAAATTGTTTGGAAAGGAATCAGGGTATTCCATCTCACAAGACAATGTCCAAAGACAGGAAAGAAAAGGTACACAGACTCGTCTTCCTAAATGCCCCCTTTTGTATTTATTCTTGTTTTCAGTGTACCATAGCTCCAATTCTATTTTGAGAAAAACTTTTGGAATGTTAAGTTGATATGGAAATGTGAAGATCACTAGTCTGTTGCTTTGAAATCCTGTCATATTTCTATTTTTTTATGTTTACCACACCCCCAGAATCAAATAAAAGGAATGAAAGAACTGACATATAGAAAGAAGGATGGATAGACAGACAGATGGTTGTGCGAAAGCAAATGTAGAAAAATGATAATTAAAGAATCTAGATAATGGTATATAGATGTTTTAATACAATACCTTTTATTTTAATGTATATATGTTTGAGATTTTCTTTCTTGTTTTTTTAGATTTTCCATAAGAGAATGTCAGGGGCAGGGGAGTCTTTCAAAACAGCTTGGCTTTTTTTTTTCTTTTAATGGAGTGTTTGATTTTGAATAATAATCAAATTGTTTATATTTATTGGTCCATTCAGTTTTTCTGTTTATTTTTAGAATATTTTGGTAACTTATACTTTCCTAGACAATTGTCCATTTTATTTATCAAAGTTGATGGCATAAATTTGCTTATAAACTTGTTTGCTTGTAGAGTTGTATCACTTTTTATTTCTGATATTCTTTGTGCTTTCTCTCTTATTTTTATCAGACTTAACAGGTCTATTTTATTAATCTTTTCCAAGAGCCAGCTTTTGTGCTTCTTCTCAAAGTTGTTTTCTATTTCCTTAATTTCTGCCTTTATATTCATTATTTCTTTATACTTTATTACAATTGTTCTTTTTCAGACTTCTTTTCTATTATATTTGCAATCTTTTTTGTTTTTAAATAAATCCACTTATAGTTTAAAATTTCCTCTTTCTACTCATATCCAAAAAGATATTTGCACACCAATGCTCATAGCAGCATTATTCACAGTGCCAGGACATGGAAGCAACCAAAGTGTCTTGGATAGATGATTGGCTAAAGAAGCTATGGTACATATATACAATGGAATATTACTCAGCCATAAGAAGAGATGAAATACTGCCATTTGCAACAACATGGATGGACCTTGAAATAATCATACTAAGCAAAATAAGCCAGACAGAAAAAGTTGAAAATATATGATAATCATTTATATGTGAGATATAAACCTAAAAGCAGCAAATGAACAGGACAAACAAACAGAGGCTCATGGACATGGACAATGCACTAGTGGTTACCAGAGGAGAGAGGGAAAACTAAAAAATCAAATAATGATGATGATGATGATGATGATGGTGATGATAAATTAATCGGTTTAAAAAAGGAAGATAAGTTATGGAATCCTAAATATTTCGCTGAACCTTACATTATGATTATCACATCAAATACTTCAGTAAGCACTTGAAACAGTGTATGAAAATAAAATTCTATTATCCATTTACTAAAAAAAAAAAATTTCTCTTTCTACTTTTATTGCTTTTTTGCTGTTTCTATGTTTTCTCCCCTCATTTACCCATGAATTATTTAGAAGTGAGGTTTTCCGGTTTCCATTCAGTTGGAAATATGTAGTGGGGTAACATTTTTCATTTCTAATTTTATTAGAAATTGTATCTAATTTTTATTTTATTATATTGATTCCAATTTTATCAGCGTGATTGTCCTCTAACAAAATTTTTTGAAACCTCTTTTTCTAAGAATAAGATAGATTGGATACACTACCTTTAGTTTATAAAACAGGTAAATGTATAGTCTTAAAAAAAACAGCTAATATTTTACACAGCACTTAACAATTTTCTGGGAGTTTTTAGCACATCCTCTGAAATTGGTATTATCTTGCTCATTTTATCGAGAGGAAAACAGATGGAATTTTCTGTGGCTTACCTGATGTCATATACTGACACATAGTGTTTTCCATGCTTATAGTCATAGAAAATGAATTAAAAATGTATAAACTGATTTGACACATAAAGAGATAAGCTTTCATTTTCCTCTGCATTCACTGATATGAGTATCTTGCTCCCCAGGGGTGAGGAATAAATGGCATGCTCTTATGTTTAGATTGAAAGTGGTAGGAATAAAAATTTAATAAGAACGATGTAGCTGGGAGATGTGCCCTTTTGTTCCAGGTAACAAAAGAACTCACACCTACCTAAGTTTTATTCCATGTGCTTTTCTGTTAACAAAGAAACTTGTTATGCTGCTCATGTTGTACTATTGGAAGCAATCCAGTGATCTGATAACCCAAAAAGAATTTTGAAACTCTCTAGGTTTTTATTCTTCATCATTATTACTTTGTCCTTGGGGGAGAAAAAAACATTTTTTCCTGCATATCTAAGTTGTAACTGTATATATTCTGAAAGCTATTTTGGGGTTATTTATAGTGACACACTATAAATGTTAAGGTGCTCTCTATATCTTTCATCCCCTAAAGGGAACTGCTGGCCCTAGGAGCTTTTGTTTAATTATTTATAAAGCTTGCTTTTCTCCTTAATATTTTATGAAATGCTTTGTATATGTAACTGAAGCAGCTGTTGTCATATTTTTTCTCTAGGATAGCAACTCCAGAGGTATTTCTGCTGGCCTTTCTAGTTTGTGTGTGCTTGCTTTCTGTCTGCATAAGGAAACTCCTACCAATTAGTGTAGCACTTTTATTTTTTTTAACAATTCATAAAATACAGTGTTATCCTATATTTCTTTGAAAATTGAATTGTCTAGTACAGCCATTCTTAATATCTTGAAGACTAACCAAAAAAGTAAATTTAATAAAAGGAAGGGAGAAAAATCCACGATCATCTCAAAAGACACAGGAAAGGCATTTGATGAAATTCAGCACTCTTTTATTATAAAAACACTCAGCAAATTAGAACTCAAGGGGAACTTTTAACATGATAAAGGACATTTATGAAAAATCTGCAGCTGATATACTCAATGGTGAAAGACTAAAAACTTTCTCCACTAAGATCAGGGACAAGACAAATGCTCACTACTGCTGTTCACCATTATACTAGAGACCTTGTCAGAGCAGTTAAGCAAGAAAAAGCAATAGAAGACATCCAGATTGAAAAGGAAGAAGTAAAATTATCTGTATTTGCAGATGACATGTTTTATATAGAAAATCCTACAGAATTCATAAAAAAAAGTACTAGAGCTAATAAACAAACTCAGCAAAAGTTGCAGATGCAAGATCAAAACACAAAAATCAGCTGTATTTCTATACTCCATCAATGAATGAACCAAAAGAAAATTAAGAAAACAATTCCAACTATAATAATATCTGAAGAATAAAATATCTAGGAATAAATTTAACCAAAGAGGTGAAAGATTTATACCTTGAAAACTGCAAAACTTTGCTGAAAGCTATTAGAGAAGACCTAAGTAAATAGAAATAATAAATGTTTATGCATTAGAAGATTTTATATCACTAATACTGCAATATCCCCCCAAAGTAATCTACAAGTTCATTGCAATCCCTATCAAAATTCCAATGACCCTTTTTTTTGCAGAAATGGAAAAGCCTATCCTCAAATTTATACGGAACTTCAAGGGGCCATAAATAGCCAAAACACACTGAAAAGGAAAAAAAGTTGGAGGATTCACACTTCCCAATTTCAAAACTTACTGCAAAATTATAATAATCATTATAGTGTGATACTAGCATAAGGGTAGACATGTAGACCAATAAAATAGAATTGAGAGTTCATAAATAAACCCAAACATCAATGGCTTGTAGATTTTTGACAAGATTGCCGAGGCCATTTGATGAAGAAAGAATAGTCTCTTCAACATAAGGTGCTGAGACACAGGATAACCACATGCAAAAGAATTAAGTTGAACCCCTATCTCACTTTATGTGCAAAAATTAACTCAAAATGGATCAAGTTCTGAAACTACAAAACTACTAAAGAAAACATAGAGGTAAATCTTTAGGACCTTGGATTTGGTATGATATTCTTAGATTTGACATCAAGCACAAGCAACAAAAGAAAAAATAGATAATTGGACTTCATCCAATGAAAAGCTTTTGTGCATCAAAGAACATTATCAAGAATGAGAAAAAAACAACCCACAGGATAGGAGAAAATATTTACAAATCATGTGTCTAATAAGGATTTAATACCCAAAATATATTTAAAATTCTTACAACTCAACAACAAAAAGACAGACAACCCAATTTAAAAATGGGCAATAGACTTGAATAGACAATTCTCTAAATATATATAAATGGCCAAGAAG